TTTAAACGTCTGCTTTCTGTGTTTCTGTGTGTCTGAACACAGTTCTGGTGACACACTGCTGTCAGACATTGATTAGTGCTGTATTTAATGTCTTATATCAAGGATAATCAAAGGTGTGTGCTCACCGTTACGTCACTGCAAACTCATACATCATCTTTAGTTCAGTATAATGCTCACAAATATAATCATGTAATTATACTATATTGTTTTTTAATCCCTTCATGCGCCTAATGACAGTCTGTTTTTGTGTCGTGGGTTGGAAATCTTAACTTATAATCATATTTCCTATCATCATTGCTTTTTAAACCTTGTTTTTTTTAATTATTAAAATATTTGCAGTGGCTCAGTGGTTAGGACTGTGGCCTCACAGCAAGAAGGTCGCTGGTTCGAGCCTCGGCTGGGTCAGTTGGCATTTCTGTGTGGAGTTTGCATGTTCTCTCTGTGTTGGTGTGGGTTTTCTACTGGTGCTCCGGTTTATCCCACAGTCTAAACGCATGCACTATAGGGGAATTGGGTAGGCTGAATTGTCGGCAGTGTATTAAGGTGAGTGTGAATGTGTGTGTGGATGTTTCCCAGCACTGCTTTGCAGTTGTAAGGGCATCCGCTGCATAAAACATATGCTGGATAAGTTGAGGGTTCATTCCGCCGTGGAAACAGCTGATGAATAAAAGGACTAAGCCGAAGGAAAATAGATGATTGAATGTAACCCAATTAGCAAATTTAAACTAATTAGGTACAATAAACTATTTAAAATATTATATATTTTTTTTAAAACTATATATAACAGAATATAGCAAACTTTTTTTAGACGTAATCAAATCAACAAAATTTAACTAATTAGGTCAAATAAATTACTAAAAGTAAAGATTTCAGAGCTTCACAAAAATGACGATTCTTTATCCAAATCTATGACTTTAAATAAGATTACCGGTTCCCAGAACTACATTTATAGTGATTTTAAAGCTTTTAGACCCTGATATACCTGCAACTTCAAGTTTAAAATAGTCCTAAATAAATATATACTACAATTAAAATGAAATCAGCAGTTCAGTAGGCAGCTGATAATAAAAGTGTATGTGTAAATGGCCTCTGCAGGTCCCGGCTATAAGCCAGTTGGCATTTCTGTGTGGAGTTTGCAGGTTCTCACCATGTTGGTGAGGGTTTCCTCCATGTGCTCCTGTTTCCACAGTCTAAACACATGTGGTATAGGTGAACTAAACTGGTCGTGGTGTATGAGTGTGTGTAAATGAGTGTGTATGGGTGTTTCCCAGTACTGGGTTGCAGTTGGAAGGGTATCTGCTGTTTAAAACGTATGCTGGATAAGATGGCGGTTCATTCCACTGTGGCCACCCCTGATAAATAAAAACAGTAAGCTGAAGGTAAACGAATGAATGAAATGTTTGAACCTAAAAGGCAGACATGATTTCCATTTAAATGGCACAAACACACACAAAGGTTTTTTTGAATAGTCTAAACCACAAAAAAAAAGAAAACCTAAAGGCCTTATTTTGATATTTACATAATAAAGGCTCCAAAAAGCCGCACAACAGCCACTGTACACATTCGGGATGCAGAACAACTACTGGACTCACATGCTGATTCTCGCTCCACATGCAAAAGTTCAAGGTTGAAGAAGAAGTTTCAGTAGCTTCTAAAACTCAATCAATTCTTCTGCTACACATATTTATGAAATTAATTTCCATTTAAAAAGATAACAAAAACAAGCCCTGTTTACACTTGGTAATGAGATGCGTTTTAGTTAATCTGACTGCAACTAAATGATGTGTAAGATGGGTTTTTAGCTTGACCATTCTGAAGATGCATTTAAAAACTGAAGCAGAGAGTGACAAAAATGCAAAAACTGATGCAGAAAGTGACAAAAAATGTATTCAAAAGGCAAAAACTGATGCGGTGAGAGACAAAAAATGCATTTAAAGGCAAAAACTGATGCAGAGAGCAACAAAAAAAGGCATTTGAAAGACAAAAACTGATGCAGAAACTGACAAAAATGCATTTAAAAGGCAAAAACTTGTGCGGAAATTAACAATAATGAATTTAAAAAGCAAAAACGGATGCATAGAGTGACAAAAATGCATTTAAAAAGGCAAAAACTGATGCAAAGAGTGACAAACATGCATTTAATAGACAAAACTGGTGCAAAAAATGACACTAATGCATTTAAAAAGGCAAGAACAGATGATGAGAGTGACAAAAAAGCATTTAAGAGAAAAAACTGATGCAGAGGGTGACAAAAAAGCCTTCAAAAGCAAAAAACTGATGCAGAAAATGACAATAATGCATTTAAAAAGGCAAGAACAGATGATGAGAGTGACAACAAAGCATTTAAGAGAAAAAACTGATGCAGAAAGTGACAAAAATGCATCTAAAAAGGCAAAAACCTGATGCAGAAAGTGACAAAAATGCATTTAAAAATGCAAAAACTGATGTAGAAACTGATAATAATGCATTAAAAAGGCAAAAACTGAGGCAGAAATTGATAATAATGCATTAAAAAGGCAACATCTGAGGAAGAAATTGACAAAAATGCATTTAAAAATGCAAAAACTGATGCAGAAAGTGACAAAATTGCATTAAAATTGCAAAAACTGATGCAGAAACTGATAATAATGCATTAAAAAGGCAAAATCTGAGGCAGAAATTGACAAAAATGCATTTAAAAGGCAAAAACTGATGCAGAAAGTGACAAAAACACATTAAAAAGGCAAAACTGATGCAGAAAGTGACAATAATGCATTTAAAAATGCAAAAACTGATGCAGAAACTGATAAAAATGCATTAAATAGGCAAAATATGAGGCAGAAATTGACAAAAATGCATTTAAAAGGCAAAAACTGATGCAGAAAGTGACAAAAACACATTAAAAAGGCAAAACTGATGCAGAAACTGACAATAATGCATTTAAAAATGCAAAAACTGATGCAGAAATTGACAAAAAATGCATTTAAAATGCAAAAACTGATGCAGAAAGTGACAAAAACGCATTTTAAAATGCAAAAAGTGATGCTGAGAGTGGCCAACCTGCTAATAAAACCCATTTTTAACTAATCTAATCACAAGTAAATGATGTGTAAAATGGGTGTAAGAAGTTTTAGCTTTTTATAAACGCATGAATAAATGCATTTAAAAAAACAAAAAAAAACAATGGAAAACTCACGCTGGGTGTGACAAAATAGTGTCTCAGCAGCAGATAATACCATGCGGAAACAGAACCTAAGAATTGTTCCTGATATAATTATTTGTGAAATGCGTCTGCATTCATAAGCAGCACAAAAGAAAATAACCACTAGTCAGTTTAATTAAATGACTAATCAGCTGACTGACAATTAGTCAATCTCTGACCTCTTTCTTATTTCACACTGTTTGACTTTACTTTGAAAAATAGGGATTAATATAGGATTTAAAACCCAGTTTAACCAGGTCATAAGACTAAGTGTCCTAGTGTTTAAATATTTAGACGTCACGCACTCAGCTGTTTTACCTCACAAAAATCCCCTTCATTCTCCACGATTCCAGCTCCGCCGCTTAGACCCGGAATATAAAAGAAAGAGAAAAAGATCAAACCGAGATTCGGAACGAGACCGAAAAATAAAAATGGGGATCTTTATCTCTGAGTGCTTGCTTAAATGAAAGCCATTCTTCGCCACTGAAAGCCCCACAGAAAGACAGAGCGAGTGAGATGAACAGAGACGAATGAAGAGAGAGAGATTAAGAGTGAGCGAACGAGAGGACGAAAAGCAAGCCCTGCTCCCAGAGGACCCTGATGGCAGAGAAGATGGGATCAAGCCTCGCTAAACGAATTAGAAAGCATGAGCGAGAGAGCAACTCATGAAATTTACTCAACTCCCCTAATGATGTTCCTGTCTGACTGAATAATGGAAGCACTTGGGAGAAAGACAGCGAGAGAGATCGGACGCAATGGGAAACAGGAGGTGGCCGACAGGAAGAGTGCGTGTGATATTTATATTCTACAACATTATAATGAAGTTAGACACGGATAGACAAGCTAATGGCCTAGTCTTGAGATTCCTGACTATGTTTAGTCTTATCAAGAGTGTCCACTACTTTACAACGTCATATTGTAAATATAACTAGATTCTTAAAGTTTGAGAACAAACTTTGAGGCTGGCTTGTGAAAGCCTGACGGTAATAGTTTATTTAGTTTAAACAGTTTTAAAAAGTATGAAAAGATAGATAGATAGATAGATAGATAGATAGATAGATAGATAGATAGATAGATAGATAGATAGATAGATAGATAGATAGATAGATAGATAGATGATAGATAGATAGATAGATAGATAGATAGATAGATAGATAGATAGATAGATAGATAGATAGATAGATAAGCATGGTATTAGCATGATTCTAGCGTGAATTAGCATTTTGTTAGCATGATTCTAGCATGAATTAGCATGTTGTTAGCATGATTCTAGCATGAATTAGCATGTTGTTAGCATGATTGTAGCATGAATTAGCATGTTACTAGCACGATTCTAGCACGAATTAGCATGTTACTAGCACGAATTAGCATGTTACTAGCACGATTCTAACACGAATTACCATGTTAGCACGATTCTAGCACGAATTAGCATGTTACTAGCACGATTCTAGCATGAATTAGCATGTTACTAGCACGATTCTAGCACGAATTAGCATGTTACTAGCACGAATTAGCATGTTACTAGCACGATTCTAACACGAATTAGCATGTTAGCACGATTCTAGCACGAATTAGCATGTTACTAGCACGATTCTAGCACGAATTAACATGTTACTAGTACGATTCTAGCATGAATTAGCATGTTACTAGCATGATTCTAGCATGAATTAGCATGTTACTAGCACAATTCTAGCATGAATTAGCATGTTGTTAACATGATTCTAGCATGAATTAGCATATGTTAGCATGATAGATAGATAGATAGATAGATAGATAGATAGATAGATAGATAGATAGATAGATAGATAGATAAGCATGTTATTAGCATGATTCTAGCGTGAATTAGCATGTTGCTAGCATGATTGTAGCATGAATTAGCATGTTGCTAGCATGATTGTAGCATGAATTAGCATATGTTAGCATAATGGATGGATGGATGGATGGATGGATGGATGGATGGATGGATGGATGGATGGATGGATGGATGGATGGATGGATAGATAGATAGATGGTGGGCGAGCATGAGTCAAACAAGCCAACCCCCGCTTCTCTACGATGTTCTGATGCTGAGATATAGCTGGTGTTATATCGTTGCTAGGTTGGCTACACAAGCAGCCTAATTATATAAGGAATAATTGTGCAGATTTTCCGAATGCATTGCGATTCTGAGATTAGTTTTTACCAGTAGATGGCGCTGTATGCTTCATAAACTTGCGTACCTGCGTATCTCCAATTGCTTAAATCCAGATCTTGAAACAGGACTGGGACGATACATAAAATACAGAAACATCTGCAATTCTGAGATTAGTTTTGACCAGTAGATGGCGCTGTAGGTTTTATAAACAGCTGTACTCTGCTCAACTCCAACTGCTTATATACATACATCGAGTGAGAGCGGACGCAACGGGAAACAGGAGGTGGCCGACAGGAAGAGTGCGTGTGATATTTATATCCTACAACACTACAAAGAAGTTAGACTATTAGACACGAATAGACACAAGCTAATAGGCTAGTCTTGAGATTCTTGAGCATGTTTAGTCTTATCTAGAGCGTTCTTTACTTTTGTAGGCTCCAGTCTATAGTGAAAATGATAATTAAATACAGAAATAATTCTGCAGGGATTTTCCGATTGCATTGCGATTTTAAGATCAGTTTTTACCAGTAGATGGCGCTTTATGTTTCATAAACCTGCAAACCTGCGTATCTCCATTTCCTTAAATTTAGATCTTGAAACAGGACAGGGACGATACATAAAATACAGAAATAATTCTGCAGGGATTTTCTGAATGCATTGCGATTCTGAGATTAGTTTTGACCAGTAGATGGCGCTGTAAGCCTTATAAACAGGCATACTTTGCTTAACCCTAATACCGTAGATACGCACAGCGAGAGAGAGAGCAGATGTAATGGGAAACAGGAGGTTGCCGACAGGAAGAGTGCGGTTGATATTTATATTGTCCAACATTATAATGAAGTTCGACTATTAGACGACATAAGCTAATTGCCTGGCCTTGAGGTTCCTGACAACATTTAGTCTTATTAAGAGCGTACTTTTCTTTTGTAGGCTCCAGTCTAGTGAGAATGAATGAGACGATAAATTAAATACAGAAATAATTCTGCAGGGATTTCTCTGAATGCACTGCAATTCTGAAGTTAGTTGTTACCAGTAGATGGCGCTGTATGCTTTACAAACAACCATACTTGCGTACCTCCAATTCATCATATTCACATCTTGAAACAGGACTGGGACGATACATTGAATACAGAAGTAATTCCACATAGATTTTCCAAATGCATTGCAATTCTAAGATTAATTTTTACCAGTAGATGGCGCTGTATGCTTTACAAACAACCATACAGGAGGTGGCCGACAAGAAGAGTGTGTGTGATATTTATATTGTACAACATTACAACGCTTTTTAAACAGCAGCATTTGCATACCTCCAATTCTTTATATTTAGATTTTGAAACAGGACTGGGACGATACATCAAACACAGAAATAATTCTGCATGGGTTTATCAAACCCATTGCAATTCTGAATTATTTTTTTTACCAGTACATGGCGCTGTACGCTTTCTAAACAGCCGTATTTGCGTACCTCCAATTTTTTATATTAAGATTTTGAAACAGGTCTGGGCGATAAATCAAATCCAGAAATAATTCTGCATGGACTTACCGAATGCATTGCGATTCTGAGATTAGTTTTACCAGTAGATGGCGCTGCTTTACAAACAACCATACTTGCGTACCTCTAATTCCTTTTATACACATCTAGAAACTAAATTAATCATTAATAAAGTTTGGAAAGGTACATCTGACCACAATGGTTGGTCTTATCAAGAGCGTCCTTTACATTTGCCGGCTCCACCCCAATGAATAAAATTAGGGAGATAAATCGAATACAGAAATAATTCTGCATGGATTTTCCCAATGCATTAAGATTCTGGGGTTAGTTCTTACCAGTAGATGGCGCTGTATGCTTTACAAACAACCATACTTGCGTACCTCTAATTCCTTATATAGACATTTTGAAATGAAAGTAACCGTTAATAAAGTTTGAAATGGTATATCTGACCACAATGGCATGTCTCATCAAGAGCGTCCTTTTGAATTAAATCCATGTACAAACGATATACAAATCATATTTGCATTGAATTTATCCCCTTGGCCCAACCAAGAAGCATACTGTAGTCACATTTGAACCTTTTAAATTATCCTAAGACAACAATGGGTGTTGTTCAATAGTTATTCAATGAAAGGTTTTGGCCAACTTCCAAAAGTTGCCTCCTCTACTCAACTATACTTTACTGGGCCACTCCCCATCATTCCCAGCTGTCCCAACCAGGCGACCCAAGCCTGATCAACAATTCCCCCACTTATATCTAATCACAGTCACCCTTTGCGCCAAGATGATGGAAGTTGAACTCTGGCAGAGGACATTACTGAAGCACACCCATTCATAAAACCCAACAAATCAATCGACATAGGCAGGCAGTGTCTCAATGACCTGAACTCACCGAGTTGATGCATGGTAGCTCCTTGTTGAGCAACCAGGGCAAAGACAGCCTGCCCTCTCCTCTATAGCATGACTGGATCCTTTCCTTGATCTTCTCCTTGATCTTCGTAAGAGTAAACAGGCAGAGCGCTGACTCTCTTGGAGGTTTGGCTCGGTTCTTCTGACCTTGAGAGAAGACCGTAAACAATATATCCTCCTGCTCGGATACTCCCAAGGAGTTTGCAAGTTGCCTTCCGGGTTTGCTTAAGTAGGCATCCTGGATTAGTCGATACTCCACACCATCCTTAGTACATCCGATTGGAAATTCCACATAGGAGTAAAACCTGGGATCATCAATACAAAGTCGAACAATCTTGGATGTGAAGAACTGCTCTCCGCTTGCGTCAGGAGACGTTAGCTGGGTATCCAGCTGCAACGTCAGGTAGTAGACGAACTGCTCACTGCTAAAGCTGTAAATATAGTAGATATCGAACGCTGGGAATTTGGACAGCGTATCCGAAGGGATCTTTAATTGAGAGGAGACAAACTCATCCTGATGGACGAAGCTGAACATGTCGGCATCCTCCTCATTGGCCATCAGCTTCCGGCTGGAGAGTGTGGGGAAGTACTCGGATTTTCCATCAATAGGTGTGCCGATGAAAAGCTTGCTGAGGTGACCCTCAGAAATGATGACCCCAGACATGGTTCCTGATTCGACCACACTAGAAAGGTAGTGTTCCTTCCGGTGGTGTGGCTCGCCGAGCTTAAAGAGATCATCCAGGCGCAGAAACTGACAGATCCCTTGCGAGGTACTTCCACAGGCAATGAGTCGGTTTTGGGGATAGTCTATTAGCAGCAGCTTGTTCACATTGCTATTCGGGGAAAGATCATGGGGGCATGACTGTACACTCGGAGGTGGATAGCATTTCTCATTGTCTACAACTGGACCCGTTACGTGACTTCTCAATTTGGTCAAGTTGCTAGAAAGCTTGTAGATCCAGTTTACCGCACCGACATACACATCTCCTGTCTTATTGTGAATGGCTAAATGTGTCAGACCCCAATCTGGAGGTGTGAAGGACCTAAATGGCTCCAGTGCTCCTTCAGAATGATGTGGGGAATTGCAGATAGTCAGAAGCCCAAGGAGAACTACAGTCTTTGGGCTAATAATGCACTGCGGACCCTGTGGTGGCCACATATCTGCACTGGTCCTTGAAGGATGTGGCGGTCCACGCTATTAGTCTTTAATTGAAGGGTTTTAAATTAACTCAAACAAGAAAGGGATGCAGCACAGGCCTTGCTGATTCGACACTTCCTTGGCTTCTCAAACAATCATTAACTCCGACATCCACCTTCGGTCCTCGTCCAGCGCTCCTGCAGGGCAAAGAAACACATGATGAGTGTTAAGGTTATCTTAGCACACTTTTTTTTTTAAAAAGGTAAAAAGTAAAAGTAATTTTTAGATTAACTTTTGTTTTTAAAAGTGTGAAAGAGAAGACGAGCAGAACACACACCATAGTCATCATAATTGGTTCCTAATTGGTACAACAAATGCAGAAAAAAACACAGCGCTTAGTAATTAATTACTCACATTAACCACGTGTGTTATGAAGAACAAACTGAACATAAAGAATTAACTATGAAACTGCATATGAAAGTGAAAACATAAACGGATCTGCGCCGTTCTTAAGGCTAATTTATACTTCTGCGTCAAACGCACGCGTATGCTACGGCGCAGCCTACGGCGTTGATGCATAGCACTACGCCGTGGCCATCGGCATCTGCGTCGCTGACGTACACCTCTCAAACAATGTAACTACATGTTGCAATGACTATTGCAACAAGCTCTGTGATTGGTCGGCTTGGTAGCGCTGATGAGTCTGGGCGGGACCGAGAGTCGCGTGAATGGCCTGACCCCGATGTATCGATTGTTTACAAGTGTGGAGTACCGTGAAGGAGCTCCGGATGGAAAGTTTTGTTTTGTGTTTACCTCATAGCTAAAGTTGTTGCACGTCCGCCGGTTGCTGCCTCAAAATGAGCGAGTTTGAGCCACTTGAGCATTCAGGAAGCATTCAGAAAAACACAGAGGAACATTTACACCTCACTGCCAACCAGCGTTTCGGAAGTGTTAATGCAAACCAACAGAGACAGCACGCAGAAGTAAAAATGCACAGCTACGCGTGTTGCATGCACTGTGGGTTACGCCGGTCACTTGATGCAGAAGAATAAACCAGGCTTTAAAGCGACAGTACACTATATACAGCCTAAACCACGGCGAATGAAGCTCTGCACAAGACTTTTGGCCAGCGGAGAAATTAAAATGGTCGTGCCCAACTGAGTCTGGTTCTCTCAAGGTTTTTTTTCTTCACTCCCATCAGGTGAAGTTTTTTTTCCCTCTCCGCTGTCGCCACTGCCTCGCATGGTTCAGGATTGGTAGAGCTACGCATCGATGAATTTGCTCTTCAGTGTTTGAACTCTCAGTAATGATTAAATCACACTGAACTGAGCTAAACTGAACTGAACTGAACTTAAACACTAAAACCTGAACCACACTGATCCAGTTACTATGACCATTTATGTGAAGCTGCTTTGACACAATCTACATTGTAAAAGCGCCATACAAATAAAGCTGAATTGAATTGAATTGAATATATTCCTGCTGCCGCTTGTTTTTGTTAAACGTCATTTATCTCCAATGCGCTCTGTCGCGAGGGAGGTGAGCGTGAGTATTTACAACACTCAGGAGCCAACTCAGGGCTGACCCGTGGCATAGGCAGTATAGGCCATTGCTAAGGGCGCTGTACATCCAGGGGGGGCGACAAAAATGAGCGCGGTTAAGTTGGTTTTGTTATCGATATTCCTGACACATTCAGTGATAGACGACAATAACTCAAAAACCTCTTACCCTAAAAAAATCTAAAGTGTGTTTCCTACAAAAAGACAAAGCTGGTTATGTTTCACAGCTGTCTTTTTCTTTTCTCGCTCGACATTACGAGCACTGCTCCCTTTAAGCCCTCGCAATATGCGTTTAGCCGGGAGAGCTCGAGCGGAGCGGGGCTCTCAATAAGAGACCATTGGAAAAGTGCTTCTTTTTTTTCGTTTTTTTTTTTTTTTTTAAGCTCTGCTCATTGCGAGCTCTCCCGGCTAAACGCATATTGCGAGCGCTTAAGTGTGTGTGTGTGTTTGTTAGGTGCTGTCTATGTTTGTGTATGTGTATGAATGAGAGACAGTGTGGTGCTTGTGTGTGTATACAGACAGCTTGTTATAGCCTCGCCCCAAAATATAACACTGTGTATGGAAAGCATCGTCAATGCACAGAGATATCGAATTGAACCGAATCAATGGCATAATCATAACTGAACCGAACCGTGAGACCAGTATAGGTTCACTCCTCTACACTCTAGTGAACAGTGATCCGATTTAGAACAACATTTGTGTACTGTATAGGGTATATGCCGAAACATGCTAACAGGACTTTTAATTTGCCAGTAACCTGGGTTAGGCGCTTCCGGTCAACAGTATGAAAATGCTAAAATTGGCGCATTTAACGTCTATTTTCTTTTAAAATCAGCGATCTTGACTGACTGATTAATATCCAATATAAAAATGGGTCTCAGATTGTACAAAAAGCACTGCATTAAATTACAGTTTTCCCCCGCCATGTCTTTATAATATGAACATTTATTTTACCCCAGTGTATTCAATGGAGCTTCTGCGCTAGCCTGCCGATTCTGACGGGCGCGTGCGTGTAAACGACTTTTTGTCTCGTTTTAGGCTTGAGCAACTAAATGAATGCCAAAGTTTATTTAACTGATAGTATTTTAATTACATTACAACATCAATGCTGTAAAAAGAACCGTATAAATTGGAAAAAAATTCACAATAACAGGTCACCGGAAGCTTATCAGTATGGGAAAAACACTAGCTTGGCATAAACTCTATTCAAATGAAATCTGATTTAAAAATGCTAAACTACAACTACAATAACTTTGATGAGAGCAAATGAAACACATCCAAACTCCTCACGCATCATTTCTCAAAGTCAAACAGAGAGGAAAAAAAGTTTCAAGACAATTTCGCCACAAATCATTAGGTACTGCGTGGTCAAATGAGGTGAACCGTGTCAACCTTTAATTACAAAGACTGATGGCTCTGAGGGTGAAGATGGATTGGAGATGCACTGTATACAAACTCTAACACCGCAGCCGTAGAGTCGGACCTGGGCATGAAACATCCATCATCACAAACTATCTGACAGCACCTCTGTGTAGATGAAGTATGCACGCACATGACGCCGTACCTTTAAAATGCCCCTGAAAAACAAGCCAAAAGCAAGTCTTTGAGGCCTGAGATGCTTCAAGTTGTTCTTGACTTTTACAAGAGCAAGGAAATTAAATTGTCCTGTTTCAAGTCAAATAGAAATGATTTATACACCTTTCCCTTTCTAATTCACGACTATGAAAACACAAAAGCCAGATATAAATAAATGAGAGGTATTTTGGAGATTTCTTTAAAGGGGTAGTTCACTGCAAAATGTTGATGAACATTAATGTACATTGTGATGATGAAGAATACTTGTGCGATATATTGGCACAGAAATTGTTGCAATAAGCCACAGGTGTCAAAGTCAGTTCCTGGAGGGCCGCAGCTCAGCACAGTTTAGCTTTAACCCTAATTAAACACACCTGATCAAACTAATTGAGTCCTTTTTTGAAACCTACAGGTAAGTGTGTTGAAGCAGAGTTGGAACTAATCTGTGCAGGGCTGCGGTAGGCAAAGATTTCCATTATTACGGTTATTTAGATTCTATAAGTTGATGAGTGTGTTAAAAGGTTGTTAAAATGTCCTAGTATATATATTTAGCTATTGTAAGTTTCTCCCCCAAAAATAAAACTGTCCAACTCCGCACTTTGCACTGATGAGTGCTGTTTTTGACTGGAGTTCATAGCAGCTCTGAAAACGAAACCAAGCAAACTGCTGCCAGCACACTTACTAAACAAAAAATTGCTGGTCAAGGACATAAGTAATAAAATGACGTATTACGAGAGAGGTATATTAATATATTAAACCAGAATAACTTGTTTTCAGCATTCAATGAAATGGGTAGTTTTTATTTATTTTTGCAAAAGGGTTGGATACTCAAAAATGTCACTTGTTAAATAAATTACTACATTATCAGGGATCATTAATATAAGAAACTAGCTATTATACACTTAGTTTTTAGAGTAGACATTGAGGTCCACCCTATTTAGGTCCGCTCATTTTAAAATTTCTGCCCCCTGGCTGCATATCGAAAGTGACACAACCACATGAGTAAACAACAAAGACAACATCAATGCTTCTAATGCCAGGTCTAAACAGAGGATTTTGCTGCGTATAGTGGCCAGCCATGCCAAAACACATTTTTATGTTATACAGTTGGCTACCATCAATCTATAATATAATATAATATAATATAATATAATATAATATAATATAATATAATATAATATAATATAATATAATATAATATAATATAAAATAATATAATATAAAATAATATAATATAATATAAAATAATATAATATAATATAAAATAATATAATATAAAATAAAATAATATAAAATAATATAATATAATATAATATAAAATAATATAATATAATATAATGAAATATATTATAATAAATAATTATTATATGGTCAAAGGTATGGGGTCAGTAAGAATTTTATATGTTTTAATAAAGGTTTTCTTGTCCACCAAGACTGCATTTACTTAATCAAAAACAGAACAAATTGGTCGGCGCTAGTGGTGTAGTGGTTTGTGCGTCGGCACTCCGGTGCTCGCGGCGACCCGGGTTCGAATCCGCCTCGCGGCCCTATGCCGATCCTTCCCCTCTCTCTGCTCCCCATGCTTTCCTGTCAATTCTCTCTACTGTCCTTTCAAAAATAAAGGTGAAAACCCGGAAGAAAAAAAAAAAAAGAACAAATTGTAAAATTATGACATGTTATTGTACTATAAAATAACTGGTTTAAAAGTAGGTCATAATTTAATTTATTAATTTATTTCAGTGATTGTAATGATGAATTTTCACCTTCATTACTCCAGTCTTCAGAGTTACATGATCCCTTAGAAATAACTCGAATACAAATTATTATTATTATTGTTTTTATTAATATTAATATTATAATTATTCTTATTAATAATGACAATAATAA